ATGCCACGTGCCACTGCCACAGGCTAATGGTGCTAGTGCAGTGATATGTGCAACGCAAGAGATCGCCCCGACCATTGGGATTTCGTCATCCTGCTGTACGGTGATTTTGCAATTCATTACGACACGTGACTCGAAACTAATGTATGTTAATTTTAATTAGTCCTCGCAAATAGGGTGCGCAAATTTTTGTCTACTAATTTTTCCCAACTTCAAATTTTTTATCCAAGTTTTCCCAACTTTCGATATATTTCAGGAACTTTAAGGGGGGCATTGCCCCCCCCCCAAGGGCTCCGTCCCTGGATGACAGTGACAGATTCTATTTCAGGTATAGTCTGGCAAGTGGTAACTTGGTAGAGACGAAAGGGTGAAGAAAAGGTGGGCGTAACCTAAGAATATTTACTGACACCCCAACTGACACCGCCTGATGACAACCATGTCTTTGGGTACAGTGGCACCGAAAACACCAGGGAAATAAAGCAAAAAATTATTAGAAAAAAAATTCTTGAGTTTCACCAATAACCACGCCACTGGTGCTGTCGTTCAGGCTCTAACCAATAAAATCATGCCTCTGAATCATCACGCCTGTCCACATCCTTTATTTCGCAATGCTGCCGGATTTTATTCTATTTCAAAATGCTACACATACCCATATTGCAAAAAAATATGTCACCAACTTGTTTATTATTGTTTCTGTCAAGTTTGGCAAAGCAGCAAATTCTTTTGCAGTTCGCCGTTTCGCTAGCCAGACAATAAAAATAATATGAACAATAATTAGACACCAATTTTTTTTCAATTTTTCTATTACCGCTGTTTAAGATGTATTCAACAAGGATAGAGAAAAATCACGTGACTTTAAAATGGTATTTGTTGGACTTTATGTACTACATTCCAGGTCACGTGACTTTGACAAGGTCCGCCATATTTGCTGAGGGGCAAACAAAGATCATATTTTTTACAGTGTTTTTTGAGTTTGTGCTTCGGAATTTTTGCGTTTTTTGATTTGCTCAATAAGTTTTAAGTTGTTTTTAGTTTTTGTGAATGAATGGAATGAATGAATGAATCTTTATTAACAGACATGCCACTTTACATTTCAATTCAACAATAGTAAACAAACAATTTATTAACAAAAATAATGCTTAAGAATCTAAATTGTTTAAAAAATAAAAAAGTTTGATACTAACAACCTTACAAATAAACTTTAGCAAAATAAATTTGTGGTAGAATGACTCAAACGTTTTGACTGTTTTGATCGGTGCACAGATCTGGCATGTAGCTTAGCTTACTGGCTTGTTCATTCTGGGCTTTTATCTATTATCGTAGTATATCCTAAATTTGTACTGGGGACCCAATCCGGATTGTTTGTATCCTTATATTCTGCTGGACTACCTAAAAGGTATTAAAAGTTACCTAGTTGCAGAAACGTAAACAACTTTTTTGATATACCGAGATGAAGTGTTTTTGTATTTTAGCAACAAGACAGTCATAAAACTTACCATTAACAAAATGTTTCCAACAAATTCGAGCATTTTCAACAACGTTACAGTCAAATCTCCCCTTTTGAGACATCTAATTCACATACTCCGTTGTTTTTTTGATAGCTCGTTGATGCGATCCTGATCTTTAAATGCTGCTGGGATCCTAAAAAACCTCACTTTATCCCTTTCAGCTCTATTGGAGCACCCAAAAACGCCACAAAACGAAGGCATCTTCACAAAATAATACTTCAAAAATTCTCGGTTTGCATTGAAAATAACACTAAATCAGGTTATGTTTGGCTTGTGTTTGCCCCTGAGCTAAAATGGCGGATCGGTTATGACGTCAACCTGGAATGCCTAACAAAATCGAAAGTGCTTGAAAAAATTGTTACAAAGAAGATTGAACATGGCCTTATTTTCTGCTTTCCCTGTATTTTTTGAAGAACCAAAATAGCGATTTGGTGTATTTTTTATTTCTCAAAATTTTTTGTAACTAATTTGCATTTATACAGGGCAGTAACAAAAATACAGAGCGTTCAACATAAATTAGGCCCCGTAAAAACACCCTCTGTACCGAGGATCGGCTACTGCCGTCTGCTGCAACATATGACTGCTTGCGCAAAAGTCTTCGGGTAGATAATAAAATAAATGGCGTCTGGCGTCATATGTTGCCGCGCATGCGCACTGTGTTCCGGCCATGATAAATACCAATTAAATACCTATAAAATACCAAATATTACCAAAAAAATTACCATAATTACCAAGTATTACCAGAAGTACCACAAAAAATACCATAATTACCAAAAAAAAATATCAAAAATACCTATAAATACCAATAATTACCAAGTGCTTGTACAATAAAATACCAAGGTGACTTACCTCTTGGTATGACATAAAAAACAATAAAATAAAATTAGATAAAAAAATATAACACTTGCAAACACTTAAAAAACAAACTGATTAAAATCGAGATTAAAATATAAATACACACACAGTCAACATTGAAATAGAGAGAATGCGAAAAATCAGTCATAAAAACAGAAATTAAACAATAAAACCGAAAAACAATCAAGCATTGACCCAAGGTAGTGACTCACTGGAAATTTTCCAGAAAAAAATCCTCAATGTCATAAAAAGCCCACACAAGCAATAATGCCTTTAGGCTTTTACGAAAAATCCGATCATTATTTATTTGCCTACGGGAAAGTGATAAATGATTGAATTTTTTTTTACCATTGTAAATAAGCGACTTTTTGGTTTAATAGAATGCAGTCCAGATGAATCAATACGAGAATATAAATTGGCAATAAATAAAAAATCCAAAAATAAAAAAGTTATTCACTCGAAGATTATGCAAAAGAATAATAAAAAAAAAAACAAAACACAAGGATTCCTGTAAACGTCGAAACAAGTTCTTCCATCAGCGAGAGTGAAAGTGATGATGCCCAATGCCTCTACTGTGGAGTCTTTTACTCAAAATCTATAGAAGGTTAGATATCATGCTCAATCTGCAAAAAATGGGCTCATAATACTTCCGCGGGTATCGATAGCGAGTAGCGACGACGATGAGACTGTGCTTGTCTGCAAAATCTGGCAATAAGTTTAAGATTTCTATTAAATTGTGTATTTAATATTTGAGTGTTTCATTTGTTCCCAAAAATACGGTTACTTCATTATTTTACCATAATAATGACCATTCCGCCCCAAGATAGGGCCATTCTGCCCCATAGTCGGGGCAGAATGGTCATTTTGACAATTTTTTTTTGAGCTTCAAAAACAATTGTTTTTTCTGATAAAATTCGTCTCAAACTTTTCTTGGATGTTATTTAAACAATAAAGAAGGGTACCTATGTCCTAAGTTGGTTTCGAAATTTCAAAATCCCTTGAAGAAAAGGCCTCTTAAAGCTTAGGTATGCCGTTTTGCCCCGGGTTCCCCGTTCCCCTAATTATTTGAATAATAATAATGAATGAAATAAATATAAAAAAGATGTCCATGTGTGAATTTGAACATACGGAGAAAAAATTATATGTTTTACATGGCAGAAAAGCAGATTTAATGCCTCGGCTGGTTTCCTAGCCTCGGCTATGAAACACCAGCCGCGGCATCAAATCTTGTACTTTTCTGCCTAGTAAAACAAATAACTATTATCCTAAAAAATATGACACCTTAGACCATAATAGACCTATCTTTTTTTACCTTGGCTGCGCGCGCAACTCGTGGGTTGCAGGTAACCGTCCAATGAGAAGCGAGTTTGTTACAGGACAGGTTTGCGTCATATTCTTATTCAGGTGCCTGTTCAGAATTAATCGTTCTTTTTTTAACAAAGAGCAAACTAATACTTTACGTATCACTTGAACTCACCGTAGTGTCGTTTAGGACGTTTAGGGTTATGTTAGATTATACTTGACATATTCCTTTGCAATGGCATGTAATATTGACAGTTGATGAGATGAGTTGAAGAGGGCGCTTCTGTACTTGGAGCTCTTTACATTTTGGCGCGTAAATAATCGAATGTAATTTTAACCTCAAAAGTGAAGTTTGATGTGTGGTTTCAAGACGAGCTGACGCTGACACTTTTGAAAATATTCTTTAAGGGCCACTGAACGTTTTGGAAGATATTTTAACTTATTCACTGTTCATTGTTCATATGTAGTCATCTTTCCTTCTACTTATTAAAACGATTTAAAACTATTGACATTTATTGCCAAAATTCAAAGCACTCAAAGTTCACTCGCGACCTCTACAAAATTTTGGGGAACTTAACTGGATATTTGCTGCCATTTCATTGTGCAATGTTGCCGGATGAAATATATTATTTATCAAAATAAAAGTGCAAACGATGTTAACGTCACTTAAAAGCTCTTCTTTTGTCTGATATGAGGCGTTATAAAACACTTGACACTAAAATATCACTTCTTTAATGTTATAACCCAGCAAACATCGTCCGTCTGCATACTTTCGGCCGATCGCTGGTATCGTCTTATATCTGCTGGCATCGGTACTATTTCTACTAGCACAATACGGCAAGTAATATCTGGGGCGAGTATTTAGTTCACGAGGAATATATAAAATTCAAGCATCTTAAGGGATACGGCAAGTTGCTGGCATAAAGATGATTTTACATATTTTGAAATTGCCGCCTATTTTCTTAGCGCCGCGCCGCGTGGTGATATTTCGAATTCACCATATTAGTTAGGTTAGAATCGCAAATTGGCGCGGGTTCCTAGTTCAAAAATTAATACATTGATGTCTTATGGGGACTCAATTTTAAAAGCGTCTGTAGACGTGATAGAACGTTTGTTAGGGAAGTGAGTTGTATAAATAGTTTTTTTTAATATGTTAATTAACTGAGAGAGTGTTTGAAAGTTTAATAAACATTGTTAAAATAAAAATATTTCCAATTTAAGAAGCCGATGTTTGTATAAAATACGTATGTCGTTGCTTGATCCATAAGTATATATATGGGTACCTATAATTATAATAAAATAGAAGTGTACCTACATACTTGGTTAGTAGATGTACTTCAATAATCCAAAAAAATGGAAAAACAAATGACTGAACTAGTGATAAATAAATAAATAAACAATTCACCAACAATCATAACACAACACACAACCTCACTTTCTTACAGCTGGTTTTAGACCCGACGTATACGTCCACCGAAAACAGACACTTTTAATTAAAATCATTTGTATTTTTAATTCATAGGTCTAAAAAAACAATTAGAGCATGAATTATAGAGAAATATGTTCAAAGTTTGACGTATAATAGGTTCAAATACTAAGAAATGCCCAGAACCCAAGATATACCCGTCTGAAAATCACTCTTTTGAATCCCCCATAAGAAATACATTGCTGTCAAATTTGTTGAAATGTGTTTAGGAACCCATTTTAAATTTCGCGCCCGGTTTTTCCTAACCTAACTAATATGGTGAATTAGACTGGCGGCTAAACATAGGACTGCGATCCAACGTTGCCAAATTGATTTCGATGCTAGGCGCGTGCCCGCTCACTCCATTAAACCAAGTTTGGCTGTCTCAGTCTGTCTTTTTCATTGATATCTTTGGTGCAGCTCGCTTATTGCTTGTATTTTTGATTTGTGTACGATTTGTTTCCAATTTTTTTTGAGAGCACGAATACGAATGAATACTATTTCAAAATGGGTGTGCATTGCTTTGAATGCGATAAAGTATTTTCGACTCAAAGTAATTATAATCGACATCGAAGTGAAGTTCATGGACTTGATGATAAAGTGATCATTGAATATGCCTGTGAAGTCACAATGTTCAAATGCGAAGAGTGTGGAATATCTTTTAAGAAAAATGAAAATTTACGTCATCACTTAGTACAAAAACATAATTTATTAAATATTGACCATTGCGAAAAATTGGCTTTCAATTCTTACGAAGGTAAGGTAAAAGAATTTGTTTATTGATTACAGTTATTAATACCTACCTAAAATTTTTAGACTTTAAAAATTGGCTTTCTACTGAGCAAAACACAAACAATGTTGAATTTGTAAGGCTAACTGGTGTTAAAAGAACCAGCAGCAAAGAAACCTGCAGGATGTATTGGAATTGCATAAGATCTGGTAATATTTTATTTTATTTTTTAATTTGTGCTGCGTACCTATAGCTATATTAGAATAGAACACGTACCTAAGTCTTATATCCGGAAATCAGCAGAGATATCAAAAATCTGGAAGCACATCCTTTTAAAATTGCCCCGTATTTCCTAAACGCGTCAAGTTAGCCGTGATTTGTCTTCGACTTTGATATTTCTTCAAATATAGAGCTCCAGAATGTACCTACTCCCAAATTTTTGATATCTCTGCTGATTTCCAATCTAGCCTATTCCTATTAATACATTGAAAATGGTCCAGCTTGTTACAGCTTGTACATTGTTGTGACCGGATGAACAGGTTTTTCCGTCTTTATTTGTCGGTGTTTGTACTGAAGGATTTCTCTTTGTGAGTTCGATAATCGGTACTATCCCTTTTTATTTGATGAACCCACATGCCCAGACTTGGCTTTGCCAGACGTGTATAATGAAGAGATAGAGCTATCTAATTTTTTTTAAATTTGTTTTAGGTAAATTTCACGAGTCAAATCTAACCAGGAAAAGAGCTTTAAAGAGCCAAGGCAGTAAAAAATTAAATCGTTATTGTACCAGTCAGATTATTGTTGAAAAACTCAAATGTGGAAAATGTGAAGTACAGTACTTCAAAAGACATTACAATCATGAAAATGACCTAGAACATCTCAGAATTTCTAAACACGAGAAGGACGTTATTGCTTCTAAATTAATATTGGGCGTATCTACTGGAAAGTAAGGCATAGCGGCATAGCAATACTATTAGTTTTTGGTACTAATTATTTTATTAGGAGTAAAAGTAGGTATTACTCCTGTGACGCGTCTGTGTGTTTGGCGGACGAATTGAGGCCGACAATAACAGACAACAGACAGGTCACACAAGTAGCTTGATCGTAATGCACACAATACCTATTTTTTCAACAATATCCACTTAATAATAATAATAACACTTGCTTTAACAATTTTAATTTTTTGTAGAATTCTGGATACATACCGAGAAAACATCATCAACCAGGAAATCCATCGCAGTGACATTATCACCAAGAAAGACATCAATAATATCAAACAAGCTTACGATATTGATTTACAAAATGGTTGTAGGCATACTGAGGATGCAGTGAGCGTGGATATGTGGGTCAGGGAAGTTCAAATGCAGGAAGCTAACCCTGTATTATATTATAAAAAGCAGGGCGAGTGTTCGGGATTGGGAGACCAATTAATAGAATCAGATTTTTGTTTGATCCTAGTGAACGACATTCAAGCAGAATTGTTAAGGAAATTTGGCTCCAACATTGTTTGCATAGACAGCACTCATGGATTAAATCCATACGATTTTGAGCTGACCAGTTTATTAGTCATAGATGAGTTTGGAGAAGGATTTCCTATCGCATGTATGTTTAGCAATAGAAAGGATACATATATAAATGAATTATTTTTCACGTATATTAGAAATAAAGTAGAAATAATATATCCAAAAGTATTTATGACTGACATCACGAACACCTTTTATAACGCTTGGTGTTCAGTCATGTCAACAGCAGTTGAAAAGAGGTTGTTTTGCTCTTGGCACGTTGATCGGGCTTGGCAAAACAATCTAGCAAAAGTTAAGGACAGTGAGAAAAGAAAGTGGGTTTACAGAACTCTAAAATATTTGCAACGAATGTTAGACCATGTGAAATTTGAAAATGAATATGCAGCTTTCATAAAATTGCTATTTGAGGAACCTAGCACTAAAGAAATGGGATCTTATCTATTAGATCATTATAGTAACTGCTCTAAACAATGGACCTATTGTTATAGAAAGCAATGTGGCATTTCAACCAATATGCATATTGAAAATATGCATAAAAATCTGAAATATACTTATCTCGAAGGAAAAAAGGTGAAACGTCTTGACAAATCTTTACATTTATTGCAAAAATTTATAAGAGATAAAATCATAGATAGAATTATTAAACTAACAAAGGGTAAGATGACTAAGCACTCGCAACATATAAATGCTCAGCACCGTTTTGCTGTAACTTTAAAACCTGACATAACACCGGAAGGAATAAATAGCTTTGTTATCAAAATACCCAATAATAAAAATCACTACATAAAAAAAGTAAATGACGGTCCTTGCTGCAATATGAAGTGCATGTATTGCAATGTATGCATACACACATTCGAATGCACATGCGTAGATTTTAATATCAAAAACACTATATGCAAGCATATACATTGTGTTTGTTTGACGAAATTTGTAATGTGCCCTTCCGAAAGTAAAAACAAAATTGAAGATCAAGATGAACTGAAAATGCTAGTTGCCGATTCTAGTATAGGCTTATTGTCTTCAAAACTATCTAAAGAAAACATTATTAGCGAGATAGAATCAAATTTGTTAGGAGCTGTTTCAAACATAAAGAGTGGAGATTTTTCAGAAGAGCAGCTTTCCCTCATTGAAAAGAAATCAAAAAACATTAAAAATATATCAACCATTGAATGTAATAATAGTTCTTATACTCTTAAAGACAAGGATGTTAGGAATGAACCATCCAATAAAAACATTCAGAAGCAGTCCTTTTATTCTACTAAAAAACGAAAGCATATCCAGAATAGGAGCAATAGGACCAACAAAAAACCGAATAAAAAGGAGCAGGAAATTATTGAAGAGACACTTAGGAAAACAATAATAATTTCAAATGACTGTAAGAATGACCATAGTTATTTCTAAATATTATAATTACATAATATATTTTTTTAGAGAACTTTGACCTTTTATTTTTAGTTTTAAATACTTTCGCTTCTTTCTTTAGAATAACTACTATAAGCACCTAAATATAAATTCAGAATGAAAAAATATACCATATATTATTATTTTTATCTTATTATTACCATTACTTATTTTCTATTTTTATATTCCGGCCTGTCAAAATGACATTATTATGGATCTCATTTGTAGTGTCAAAAAATCATAATTTATTGGATTGAGTACTTTAATGCGATTTCATTAGAGTACTAAGTAGTAGGTATAATGGGATCTCATTATAAGTACTATAATGAGAAAAAAATATAGGTAGGTTTAGTAGGCAAAAATATGAAAAATTTATTGAAGACAACATTTAACGATTAAAATAATTTACAATTTCTGGAATAAAAAATATTGTATGAAATTTGGATCATAAACAATCATTATGGCACACGCCGTGTTATCATCAAACGCCTCGTCTGATAATATTCACGGCTAATACCATAATGATCCTGATTATGATCCTTATAACATAAATATCTATAATAGGATTAATTTATTACCTACTAATCATACGAGACTTTATTTGTTGTATAACAGAAATTAACCTTTAATTATTATTGTAACATTATCCGCAATATAAATCTATTTTAAATTTGGCGCTTAATGAAAGGATAGGAGGAATTGGCAACATTGGATCGCGATCCTATGTCTAGCCGCCAGTGTGAATTACATGATCCAGCCAGGCCAAGCCAGTCCGAGTCCGGCGTCCTCTCCTCTATTCCTTTCCTCTTTCGATGCAAGTTACCGACCGCCGACCGCCATTTTAGAGAAATTAAATTCATTTAAATTATTGTTTTTTGGACTAGAATTATATAACATAAACTTATTTCAAACTTCGGACTGTGTGGCAGTGATATTTGTGACTGTGAGTGCCATTTTTGAGAGGCTCAGGCAGGCGGCATCAGTGTTTTTAGTTTGGCGTTTGGGGCCAATGGGGCCATCACCAAACTAGAAAGGAAACCTAACCTAACTGGAAATTTTATATTATAAAGGCGAGTTTATAAAAATAGTTCCAGCCAATTTCAAGGAAATGAAAACATTGATTTTCCACTTTTTAATCTCGCTTTATCTATATGAAATATACACCATAGATTCAAAAGTTTTGCATCACCCTATAATGACTATAATTTATAAATATTGGGATTTTTTTCTTGTAAAAAAGTACTTTCGAAGACTGGTTGATGCAATTTTGAATCTAATGTATATTTATATTTGCAATTTATTTGGGTATTTTTTTCCCTTTTAGTTGGTTTGTTGTTGCTTTGTAAACTCAAAATTCATATAATATGGTCCTCGGGTGATTTTGAGAACACTAAAGACATTTTTAACAGTTTTTTTTTATTGAGTAAGTGATTTTTCCAGGTTTTCCCGAGGGATTTTTTTGTAAAATGCCCTTGTAACTTTGCCACTGATCACCCTCATATGAATACATGTTTATTTTCAAGTACCTACCTATTGTTTGCCCAGCGGATCTGATAGTCCCGAGGTGGCGCCAAAAACATGCAAGAGTTTTCGCAAGGCGGATATTTTCAAAATAGGTCGTACTTTAGTGCTAGAATGCTAGTGTACAGTCAGCACTCACAGTTCCGGGACAGCTGGCTCTGGGACGCGGGCAAAGTTGTAATTTTAAGAAGCATCTAAACTGTTTTCTCAAAGCTCAAAATGTATAGAAATTTTGCAAATTATCTGTTTGAAGGTCACAGATAACGTATGTAAATCGTCAGACGTCTAGTTCGTTGCAAAAAGGGGGTCAGACGTCCTCAAAGTTTTTATTTTATGGCATTTTCTTCAAATATATTTGTCAAATACCTGCAAAAATATATTTTGACAGGACACCGAAGAAAATGCCATAAAATAAAAACTTTGAGGACATCTGACCCCCTTTTTGCAACGAACTAGACGACTGACGATTTACATACGTTATCTGTGACCTTCAAACAGATAATGTGCAAAATTTCTATAAATTTTGAGCTTTGAGAAAACAGTTTAGATGCTTCTTAAAATTACAACTTTGCCCGCGTCCCAGAGCCAGCTGTCCCGGAACTGTGAGTGCTGACTGTACACTAAGCATTCTAACACTAAAGTACGACCTATTTTGAAAATATCCGCCTTGCGAAAACTCTTGCATGTTTTTGACGCCAGCTCCCCAACTATGAGTCTACGGAAGGAATTCGGACGTAAATGTGCCATGTTGTCACGTTTAATTATTAAAAAGCGAAAATACCAGGCATGAAGTATAGTTCATTTGAAAATCCATTTTTTAATAACAAAATATAGATACCAATAAAACGCTAAATATTTCAACGTGGTTGTTAGATCTATTCTTACTCTAATAACTGATTTCTTCAATTTTGTCCATTGTAAAAAATAAACATTTTCTAAAGATACCATTAGTTTTTGACAATTTGGCAAGCATCCGGCCTGGATGAACCTGATTAGTGGAGTTTTTGGCAGGATGGCCGTTGCCACGGTAAATCACGCCGTTGTCAATGGGCTAACGTCACCTTACGTCTCGCTATTGGCCAAGGCTTCCGTCATTTTATCCTCCCATTTTGGAATATCGAT